TTTTTTTAGTTTGCCGTTAGAATTAAGCTTTTCGTGTTCATTTTTGATAACATGTTTGATTTATTAGTTTGCTATAAAAATTTCTAAATATTTGGGCCATATGCGTTTAGTAAAGTGTATTTTCATCAATGCTATAGCTGTAAATTAAAAACATTGACAAACCTAGTTGTAGTGTATTTCATACATATGCTTATGGGAAATACAATTTAATCTAGAAAAATAAATGTTTAACGCTACTTTTATTCTTGAAAATCGTTTTGCCCCGAAGAATTTATCATATTTTACTAATAGTATGTCTTTAGAAAGTAACGCTGAATCTTTTATTTATCTAGATTTTATACAGTTAATTGATTTTTAACGCTTACATTTTTTATTTTAACAAGCCATATAAAAAAATAATAAAGTCTACTTAAGATTTTATTTAAATTGAAAACAAAATTACTTACATCTTACATATTATAGTAAAAATTGTAAAATGGCTAACACGATGTAACGAAAATGAAAACAAAATAATCCTATACATTGATAATAAAAATAAACACAAGAAAAAAAATGTTGAAGGAAGAATTTTTGTTCCTGTTTAATGTTCTATTTCTATTTTTTATTTTTGTCATTCAAATAATTATAGTTATTCTTATACGCTTTTTTATAAATACAACTGTACATAATTATTTTTAATTTTACTATGTGTGAAAAACCTTAACAAACTAGGTGATATTAAATTTACATAAAACAAAACATCACAGATTATAAAAGAAAACATTACCAATTATTCTTATCTTATAATGTATACAGTGTGACCTAAAACGAAACTGTGAAAGTAACTATTTAGTATTTCATTCTTCATGTTTTAATAATTTTTTTAAAAATTTAAATTACGAATGCTTTTAATGGAACAGAATATGTTGAGATTTAAATTTTATTCTAATGTATTGGGCTCGATTAAATTTTAGTATTTAAAAAACAGATGTTTTATTTAAACTTTAATCAATGTTTTTTTTTACTTTGGTGGTCATGTAAATTCAACCGGAACCGGAAAACGTATGAATTTTTCAAATATTCTTTTTACTTGTTGTACAATTTTTTTATAAAAAGTAAAAAGAAGAGTTAATCCACAAATTATTTTTATTAAAAATAATTTATTGAATTCCAAATTTTTGTCCAAATAACTTAAGTATAACTTATCTTCTATATTAAATAGTATAAAAATATATTTTTTAAATGCCTAAAACTACTACGTTTTGGTTATTTATTACTAAATAATAAATATTTTCATTACACCTTTGCACCTAGGGTTGCCAGAAATGAAAATGTCTTAAATAGGAAAATTGCCTTAAAATATAGAATTTAAAAAAAATATATGTACGAGGTGTGTTCAGAAAATATCGGGAATTTTCGTTTTTTGAAACAAATATTTATTTATTTGTCTACATTAATGTTGTCGCCTTCAAAATAGTCCCCATTGGATATTATGCACATGTGCCAGCTCTTCTTCCAATACTCGAAACACTTCTAAACTCGGTCTTTGGGATAGCCTTTAGTTCTTTCAGCGATGCGCTTTTAATGTCATCTATGCTTGCAAAACGACGGCCCTTTAAGGTTTTCTTTATTTTTGGGAATAGGAAAAAGTGAGACAGAGGCATGTCTGGCGAATATGGAGGCTGGGGCATCATTACAGTATTGTTTTTGGCCAAAAATTTTGTTCAAAATTTAACAATTTTAGAACAAATTTTGCTGCCACGCGTTTCATACCCAAAACATTCGAAAAAATTTCATGGGATGAGCCAATCGATATACCAACATCATCAGCGACTTCTCTGATGGTTTATAACCATTTCTTACAATTTTTCCATGTTTTTATCGGTTGTTAATGTGCTTATGCGTTCGGAGCGTTCGTCATCTTCAACGTCTTCACGCCATCTTGGAAACTCTTATACCCCTTGTAAACTCTTGTTTTACTTATAGCAGACTCACTATAGGCCTTTGTTAACATTTCACAGAATTTATTTCATTTTTTAAGTAAAATTGGATACAGAATTTATTTCATTTTTTAAGTAAAATTGGATACAAATTCTTTGATCCATTCCTTTTAACGAACGAAAATTCGCCGAGCTCATAAAACACGTCTAACCTTAGCGGATGCCACAGACAAAGTAAACAATGAAAACAGCTAAAGTTGTTATCATACTTCGGGGGCATGTATACCAACATAATAAAGAAAATTTTATGACAACGGGACCCTCCGAACCCGCGAAATTTAACAATTCCCGTTATTTTCTGAACACACCTCGTATATTATTGCAGGTACATATAATTACTAATTTATTTATAAAAAAACATTTAGAAAAATTAAACTAAATAAATAATAATAAATAAATGTGATCCAGACCCCCCTCCCCATGTCAAAAACAGTAAACCCCGTCCCCCTAAACGTGTGACATACTTTAGGACCCGTGATGTTTTGGTAAAAAAACTATCAGTTAAATTTTAAACCTGGAGCGGGCATTTAATAATGTAAAAAATAATTTTTAGAATGTTATCAAAAAACTAAAAAAAAATTGCTTTAGCATATTCTGTGTAGATTATTTCGAGCTCCTTGTAAACACATTTTGAACCAAAAAATTATAAAAATGATCCTAGTAAATTAATAGACCTGGTTGAAATTTTTAATATACCTTAATTTTGAAACGCAGTATAATAATAGTATGTTATGTCATTAGGAGGAGAAGTCCTTCGAATATATACTATTTTATCTTTTAACAAAAACTAAAAAATATTTAATTAATATGAATGACACTCTGTCAATGACAGATGCATAGGCGGAGATAATTTATTTATTTATCGAATGTAAAACTGTATCATAGTTTAACAAAACTGTTTTTTAACTGGTACCGTCAAAACGATATTAATTTTATAAGTACTCAATATTAATTAAATATGGTAAACAATGAATTTTTATTAATTAATTATCTAGGATCATGAATGTTATTATTGTACTAGGAAAATAAAGTTATTATTGTACTAATACAATAATGAATAACTTCTCAGGGATGCGTTAAGGCTAATAATATTAATATTATGTTATAAAATAAAAATATGTACCTAAGCAAGCAAGTATTTACCCACAGGTAAAACATTGATTTAACGCGAAATGCACACAGGTAGTTAATAATAGGATTTGTCCTTTGTAAGGGACTGGAAACCCCATAATTAAATGACTGAGAATTATAAAAATACCAGTAATTTTTTGTTTTGTCTTTGAAATGCACCGAGGCATTTGGACGATGCAGTGAAGAATGAAATAATTGCGAAGAATTTTAAAAATTGCAACGAAATATTTTAAAGGTCTTCCAAGAAAAAATATGACAAAAAAACGAGTTTTAACTGTATTATGCAATTTATGTGAAGTTAAAATATTCGAAAATACAATAAATTGAAAACGGGTAATTCCAAAATAATAATATAATTATTCAAATAAGATTAACTTGTAATTGTATACCTACTCAAATAAATATTTATAGGTTTAATAAATGCCAGTATAACGGCGTAACCTGAATTTTTACTTGTTTTAAACATTTTTTTTTTTTTTTTTTTAGGTTTATTGACTTTTAGTCTTTACGACTATTTAGCCAGCTCATGATTGTATATTTTTTTTATGCTCGAAAAACAAGCACAACACCCAAGGCTGTGACCGGGAATCGAACCCGGTACCGTGTTTTAAACATTACGTTTGGTTAAACACAATATTTAATTGAGTCTCTGTATCTTATTAACCAGAAGGTATATAATTTGGACATTAACAACGTCTAAAATTTGAAGATTGGGTTGGCCAATACAAAACTTGCTGAACTAAAATTTTCAAAAATATAATTTTGGTTATAATTTAAATATTTATATATAATAATTTATATATTATACACCTACTACCATCTATTTAAAAGAGTTGTAATAATAATAATACATTATATAATCTCTCGAGGTGTTATTAAATAAAATCCAAGTGGTTTTACAAGAATTTAGGATTAAGGTGACTTTCCTTGAAATATTACTTATCTTAATAAAGGAGAAATTTGCGAGACAATCATTGCTTTTAATATTTATCTCCAAATTTAAAATCTTGTGAATCACTTTTTGTTGTATTTTCCTTATCTGTTACTTTTATATTTGTATAAAACAATACATAATGTAAATATTTATAAAATGTCGTTTTATTTAATAATGTTTTTTCATCAATTAAACTTTTGTCAATTATGGGTTAAACATGACTCCATAATGTATTTTTAGTATGTTTACATCAAAAGTTGAATTGAACCTGTTTTCATCTACTTAACTTATACAAACAAGCTAATACAATAAAATTTTGTTCCATATTCCTTATTTTATTAATTACGAAAATTCCGAGAAAATTTATGATGTCCTATGATGAAATTTGTTTAAACAATATTTTGTTTACAGTAGTCGTTTAAAATAAGTTCTGTTAATGTACTTTTTCAGTTCGCATTGTTTGTTAATTTATCGAATGTAATGAGGTGTTTTGTATATTTTGGCATTAATTAACATTTATTTGTTAAATACGTGGAAAACGTTCTGTGAGGATGTAACTATTGTTAAGGGCAATATTAAGGTGCTAAGTCGGCGCACTAGCATCAGCTTATTAAACAGTTAAGCAAATACAAATCGTTGGAAACCAAATAAAGATAAAATCGAGATAACAGTAATTGCACTGAAGAACTAGCGGAATTTCTATGCCTATGGACGTATCATATTTATAGCCTCTGGTTAGAGAGAGTACCGGTATTGGTCAACAAGGACAAACACCGATATGTCGAAGGAAGAACCCGGTTTCAATCTAATTAGTCCCCAAATCAGCCAGAGGGCCTTATTAACATTATTTTTATAATGTTTATGGTTTTAATATTAACCAAGCGCGACGACAGAAGAAGACTCGGTCTACGTGTAAACTACAAATTGGAATAACATCAAAACTAACGTGTTTTTACCTTATTTGAAACAAAAATTAATCCTCTATCATAATGTTTGTGCACATCACTTAAATTTCGTCACTTTTATTCGACACACATCACACTTTTCTGTCGGTCCGCACTGTACACCCGTTGACGGATCAAATGCTGTTACCTTAATTTACCTGTGCACCGGGGCAGGCAGCGCCGACGGACAGGTGCGGTACTAACAAGTTTCGTGTTTTCGTACTGTGAGTTCCGTTGATATTGCACCGGCTGCTTTCCCGAATCGAACCCGAGCGAGGCAGTGTATTGCCCTGATCCCGGCGCATTCGCCATTTTTTAAACTATTAAATAACAAGTGCTAATAAATATTTCTAATCACAAGTCTTTTGTATATTTTGTGTACAGGGTGGCCGAAAATCACCGGACCAAACGAAAGGGCTAAAATCTAAGACAAAATTTACTCAACCTTTTTTTCAAATTCGCAAAACTGCAAGATTAATTTAATTTCTGCACTTGCGACAACAAGCACAGAATTTGTTTTTATTTACTTTTTCCCAATAACGGAATATCACCTTCTTTTGCAAATACAAAAAATATAACAAAAAAATTAAAGGTGCTCTCCTAAAATGAATTAGTAAAAAATAACTAATTATAAGTCATATTTGATTAATTGTCATAGCGAAAAAGCAGTCACTAATAATTAGTCAAATTCTACTGAATGAAATAGTCAAATTAGTTTTGAATCTTTGTTTGTTTTATGGGCCATTTAACCATGTAGCCTATATGCATATTCAAATAATACTTTGTTGTTGGCCGCAAAAGATTAAAGAAATTAGTTACTTTTAACTCTCAGAAATAGTCAAAGATGGTGACTAATCTTAAATTAGTCAAACTTTAACTATTTAAAAGTGAAAACGACTATTTTATTATTAAAAAATGCTGGTACTAATTCAAATAGTAGAATTTTGACTAATTCATTTTAAGAGAGTGGGTATGTTTAAAAAATTTTTGTTTGAACTAAAAATGTAAATAATTAATAACTACTTATATACTTACACAAACCCAGCCCAGCACAAGTCGGTCTTAAGGACATCCTAAGCAAAGCCTTACAGGATATTGGGATATCCTCAGACGTCCTCGGACCTCCTTAGGACATACCAAACAAAGACAAGTGGTGCAAAAAATCCCAGTCTACAGACATCCTGTAAATGGCCTTTAGGTACAGAAATGCCAAAAAAAGGACAGCCTACGGACGTTCTGGATGTGTCCTCTGAACGTCCAACGGGTTATTCTTGTTCTTTGGATATGTACTTTCTAAAAATGAATTAGTCTAAAATGACTAATTTAATAGTTATTAGTGGCTGCTTTTTCACTTATACCTTGGTATATACATACATGGAATACTTTTATAACTTTTGATGACGTTTTCGGATTATTCGGACAATTTTACAGAATAATTGGCTATTATGTCGGGGATACCATGGATCCCATGGTATACCATGGTATAAGTGAAAAAGCAGCCACTAATAACTGTAGTACACACAACGAAAAACGTACGTAATATTAATAAAAAAAAACATTAACGCAATGATTTTTTACATTAATTTTGCTCCGATGCTCAAAATCATTACCACAATGCTTCTAAAGTATTACTCAATGTACAAGGACGTAATATTAATGCTTGGCGGACATTGATTTTAATCAGGAAGATCTCAAATAAAAGTACTGATATTAATGACCATTAACATGGATTAATGTCGTAGTACATTAATTCTATGCCCAGTAAACATCAACCAATTAATAAATTTTTAATCAATTAACAATTAAAGAACATTATCCCAATCACCTAATATACATTAATTAATGATCTGTTAGCATTATCATAATGCAAAGAAGCATTAATAGTAGGACTGAATTAAGGGATGGAAAAATATCGATAAATCGATATATCGATATTGGTATACCGGAATGGATCGATATATATATACAGGGTATCTCAAAAGTCAAGGACAGCAGAAAAGGGGTGGATAGAGGATGGAATTTTAAGTCGATTGAAAAACGGCAAAGACCATTCGACTTAGAATCCCATCCTCTATCCACCCCTTTTCTGCTGTCCTTTTGAGATACCCTGTATACATATATATGTATATGCATATGTATAAAATGTATATAAATGTAAATAATGTATATAAATTATTACACTTACCTTAAGTTTTAACATTAAATCAATTTTTTTGTTGATCAGTTAACAAAAAGAGCTAGAAATATGTAAAAAAATATATTAATAATTATTAATATTAATATTACTTATGTGGTGATGTTCTCTTTAGCCAGTTCCCTTTACAGAAGTTCCCAAACATTTTCTACAGGGTTTATGTCCGGGTCACCGCAAAACTGGAACTGGAACTTTACATATTTCTAGTCCTTTTTGTAAATATTATGAAACTAAAGATTAATATAAAAAAATAATAAAAACCCTTGGTAATTTAAAATCCTTATATTTATTACAAAAAATTTATGAAACATAAATAAACCTTAACTTTTTAACATTGTCTTACTTACATTCTAAAAGTCACATAGATTTTGGAAACTGTATTAGAATGCTTCATTTTAAAAAAGTAGGTTTCAATAAATGACCAGACCATGACACATTCTTCTGGGAAATAAAGGTTAAAAATACTTGCACTTTTTTATATTTCATATAATAATAAACCTAAACGCACAACAATCGGGATGGGCGGGCAAGCACGTCGCAACAGGATTAACAGGAATACTAAACTGTTGTTAAATTGTTTTCTTACTTGCATTTTTAGGTGGTGGGAAACAACAGGGCTTAATATTAATGTATTTAGACATTGGCTCAACGTATTTGGCGATAAAGTTATGATTTGTTGTATTATTTAATATGTTAGGGCATTATATTCATGCTAGGGTACATAAGTTGATGTCTATATAGGCATTAATGTAATAATTTTAGATTATTAAATTATACCATTTAGAGTATTAATCTATTAAGCCTTGACATTAATTTTATCACTGAGCAATGATTAACTAATGTACTCTAGGTTATTGATTTAATGTAAATAATCATCGTATTAATGTAAAACATTATTGTCTTAATGTATTTTGGCTAAAAAATAATAAAATTCTTGCACTAGGATAATGACCAGGCAGACATTGTGACAATCCAATAATACATTAACTCATATTTTTTAAGCATTATCATAATTACTTGATTGCATTAATACTATGAAAAGGACATTATCGTAATGATTTTGCACTTAATGATCGTAGGACATTAATATCAGGTACGATATTTTTTTCTGTGTAATTAGTCATTTTTGACTAATTCATTTTTAGATAGTAGGTCCGTAGGATTGTTTGTAGCAATTATGTTTAATATTGGCCATTGTACCTATTTGGTAGGTAAAATTAATATTTTTATACCATTCTGGGACATTAAGGCTGGTCCAAAGAGACATCCATAAATGACATACCCAGGATATCCCATTCTGGGACATAAGGCTGGTCCAAAGACGTTTATGTTAAATTATTTCTATAAAAGTGTTAATTTTTATTTTATTTTTTATTTCGGTGCTACTCTATCCTAAGTCCATTTTCAAAGAATTGGAGAAAAACACTATTAAACATTTCTATTTATTGTAACTAAATTGTTTTTTGCATAATATGTATTTATTTATTAATCTTTGGATATAAAAACTTTTTTTTTAATTTTTAAAAGAATGACGCAAAAAAAATTTAGTTACAATAAATATAAATGTTTAATAGTGTTTTTCTCCAATTCTAAAAAATGGACTTATTATGTGGAACTATCATTCTTGCCACGCTCGCTTCGCTCGGGTGTCAAGGTCATTGCGCTATTTTGCTACAATTCGGCAATAAAAACGAATAGGTAGGTTTGTTGCTATATTAACGCGATTCCGCTTATTTCTAAAATACGCCATTATTTGCGATATTAGGCAACTACATAGAAATAATACTCCTAATAGCAGGGGCGTAACTAGGCGCGTGGGGGGTCCCGAGTCAAGGATGTAAATTGGTGCCCATGGGTAAAATTAAAAAAAAAAACATGTTTAAAAACATCTGGGTAAATAGACATTAATGAGCTGTACTTTACAAATATCAAGTCTGCCAAATATTTTACAGAATTAATTTTGGTTATTTGATTTTTGAATGATGAAATTTTTTTCCTGCCCGCGGATTTTTTTTGCTGAGTTGCTGATATTTTTTTACGTACCCAGCCTAGTTACACCACTGCCGAATAGCATTATTTATATATGCAACTATATATTTACTATCGTTTTTTTAAACATTCATTCATACACATACATACATTCATTAAGGAAAATAATATACATTTTTAAAACAACTAAAACTTTAATCTTAAAGTTTTATAAGTTTTTAAACATTTAGTAAGTTCCTGGAGCTGGAGCGGTGTTGATGTGGTGGCTGGCAGCGAATGGACCTTCTGGAAGAGGAGCGGTGTGGATGGATCCACGGGTGGCGGCTACGTATCTGCAAAAAAATACTGCGGGTTAAAACAAGTATAGAAGTTTTAGGAGGACATTAAATAGTAGCAAATATTAGATATTATATTTAAATAGAGTTTTATCGTAGACAATAATTGAGGAGCATCTGTGCAAAACCGGCTATATCCACTTTAATAAAATGTTGGGAAAATGGCAAAAACTCTCGGTTTTCTGGCCTTTACAGATAAAAAAAAGCAAAGCAAAGTTTTGTGGGCTATATAGTAGGTACTTGATTTATAAGACATACTTTCGTTTTCAAAAACTTTATATTAAGGCCTAAATTTCAAAAAATGTTTTGTAAATAGCCGGTTTTGCTCAAAAACCTACGAATAAAATGTGAAAAACCTTTATTATTCAAAAATATTAACAAAATAAATTTAGTGAAAACATGAAAAAACAGAACAATTGTATCGACGTATCCAAGCCACATGCTCATCATCATTATTATTTATTGGATATAGCCGGGTTTGCTATAAAAACGTGGATTTGGCCGGTTTTGCTCCTAAAGCTACCTTTTAAATGTGATTTTAACATGGATATAGTCGGATTTAAACCGAATTATCTTGGCTGTCGATAGAAATTAACCCAAAGATGCGAAATAAAAAAAACCAAAAACTGAATAAAATGGATTTAGCCGGTTTTGCAAGGATGCTCCTCAATTGAATCGGTGAGATTAAGAACAGTACAAGTCAAATGTCAAAATTTTTACAAAATATTTTTAAAAAATCAGTTTTATAGTTCTAAATGCATTTGCGGAAATATTTTAACTATTTTATAAAATATAATATATGAAGATATAAATTATTTTACAGAATATATTCTATAAAATAATTTATATCTTCTCACAAAAATGTATTTTAAACTTTAAAATTGATTTTAAAAAATGACTTGTCAAAATTAAATTTTTGGACTGTTCTTATTCTCACCGATTCAATTATTATATTAGTTTACGGGAAAAAGTTGAAAATAATTTATTATTTTAACAAGCGCGATTTTTATTTTTTCACGTTCTTTTAGTTCAAATAATATTTGTAAAATATTATTTTTTTAAATAAATAGGTTTTAATAAATTGTTTTACACTTACCCAGATTGGATGGCTGGAGCAGCAGCTACGATTGGGGCGGAGTAGGCGAGTGGAGCGGCGGCGTAGCTAAGGGGAGCAGAGTAAGCCAAGGGGGAGGCGGCGTAAGAAAGGGGAGCAGAGTAAGCCAATGGGGAGCCCAATCCGTAGCTGTATGCGGATGGCAATACAATTCCGGCGGCGGATACGGCTACGAGAGCGAAGAGAGCTACGATTACCTAAAAAACATTTTTGATTGCTTGTTCAATTATAGATCTATATAAATATAGGGAGTTTTCATTTCACCTCGTCCCGGTAAATAAAATAAAATTAAAAAAGTACGTAACAAAAAAAGAATATTACCTATTATACTTATTCTTATAAAGGTAAATGTTTACACTTTCCAAAATTGAGAAAAATAGTCAATTATTATAAAAACATTGCGAGGTATAAAACTATCATTAATTGCCAAAAAAAAAACAATACTTGACAGCCGCAATTGTTTTTAGGAATCTTTTAAACATAAAATTAAGTGTCCTTTTATTTTGATTTCTGTTAATTTAACTAGGTACTTTACTTGGACGATTTAAAATGGGGGTACATTTTGTTAAAATATAACACAATATTCTTACCTTCATGATGATTGTTTGGTGGACCTTTTTCGATTCAGACGAAAAACTGTATGATATACATAAGGAAGAAATCTCTTTATATACGATAAAAGTGGTCTTGCTATCAAAGGAAACCTTGAAATCCTACTTTAAAAATTTGGTACTGGACTTGGGCGTGGTCCATTTTATTGTTTAATAATTTGATATTTTTTCTTAGTTGTGCATTAATTTAAATGTATTAAAAAAACAACTTTTTGATTTTAATTAATATGTAAGTTGAATTGATTTTAATGGCTTTATTGCGATATTTTATATTTTTAGCCCTGTAAAAAGATAAATTGAACTTGGGTTGAAATAAAACATCTTCTATTTAAGTAAAAACCGTATAATATTATGATAAAAAAATGGATTTCGCTTTAAATTTGGTTCTGACAAGGTCTTGAGGGGAATGTATTAAAGGTAGGTACCTACTATATTGTATATTATACTATACAATCGTAAGTTATTTCTTCTTTTAAACATAAATTAAAGAGGTTGATCGATAAAGGTATTTACTAACATTTTCTTGTCAAGCAAAAATGTGGTAACCTTTATTGCTTAATATGGTAGTTACCAACTTTTTGCTTAGCACGAAAATGTAAGTTAAAACCTTTATCCACAAACCTCTTCAGTTATTTGGAGATAATCAAATAATAATAATTTAATAAAATTGGTGACAATTACAAAAAACTAAATAATTGTAATTAAAATTTGTTCTGATACAATTAAAAGAAAATTTATTTAACTATCAAACTAACAGAATATTATACAGTTCTCCTTCGTATCCCGCAACTGCACAGCATTACCTGTGTAAAAATTCGGATCTATCATGATAGAACTATTCTGGGCTCGATTCTATGTCTAATATTAGAAATTGTTAAAAAAATTTAAAATTATTAAATTTATTTATAGGGAATAATAACATCAATCAAAATGTTTTTTAATTTTCTATTTATGTAAAAACAGAAAGGGTGTTTCATTTAAAATAAAAAAGTTATTAACGTTTTAAGTTAGCCAAATTTGCTCTAGATTTTCTTGGGTAATTTTTTTAAAAATGTTAAAGAATTGACATGAAATCTTTTAAACAATGTTTTAAGATTCCAAAAATACCACGCCCATTTCCGCAAACCTAATAGCAAAAAAGTTATAGGCTATTTTTGATTGACGCGCATTTCTGTGGGTAAAAGGCATAAGGGTATAAGTAAAAAAAAGCAATTTTTCAGTAGAGCCTTAAACGTATTCGCATTAATTCAGAAAATATATTTATGGTTAGCATCTATACCCTTTTGTTAGCACATAGCATATGCTAACAAAAGCGTAAACCCGCTAATCATATATATATATATTTCCTGAATTAATGCGAACACGTTAAAGGCTTTATTGAAAAATTACTTTTTTTGACTTATCCCCTTATGCCTTTTACCCACAAATTTTGTCATATTTTAACGGAAAAAATTAATTACTCGAAAACTATTCACTTTAGGTATAGGGCATGGTACAGTAATTTTACTCAAAATATTATGTAGAATTTAAAAATCTTTTGCCGTTCCTCAAATACTCAATGGACCACAAACGTGAAACACAAGTATTTCATAAATGTGCAACACAATGTATAATATCTACATAGGTAATATAATTAAAATAATTTTAAAATAAACAAATAATTTTAATGGTTGTCGATTTATTTAGTGAATAAATTTTTAATAAAAATATACAGTCTCGAAGCGGTTAAATTATGTGCCGAATACCGTGGATAACATATTTATATATAATTGGATCGCACTTAAAAAAAATGACGTAATCTGAAAAAACGCCGAGACAAGGGTATCATTTTTTTAAGTCTATTTTCCAAATAGGAATTTTTCATGGGAGGCAAAAAAATCAAATTTTGTCGTACTGTGTAATAATTCAGTTTCGTCAGAACCTGTTTTCATACATTTTGGGCACCCCTGTTTGAAATGTTTTGATGACGTCGCCAACCTAACCATACTTTTTAGTTGTCAAAGGAAAATGTCGATGTTACTAAACATTTAAACCAAATTGTAATATTATTTAAATAAAAATGTTATCCCCCGAGAAAAGTTATGCTGAAATGCAGGCCACCCTGCAGCAGGAATTGGAAAGAATCAAATTAGAAGAGGTTAGATTATTAATACCTACTTAAAAAATTATTTTTAAATCTGTTAATTGTAGGAAGTTCTCATACAAGAGCTTAATAATTGTTTAAGTCAAAAGGCATTCCATGGAGATAAAATTAAAGGCTTAGCCAAACTTATTCCAACTTTAAAAGTTATAAAACAAGAAGCTAAAGAATTAGTGGGTACGATTAATGATATATCAAATTCTTCAGAGAAAATAAGTGGGAAAATTAGGTCGCTGGATATGGCAAGAGTAAGTTAAGTTAACTATTTTCTATAATTATTTAGATTAATACTATATCAACCAGGGTTGTGAACTGGTGCAAGAACCACTTGTTTGCTGGGAACCTGTCCGTAACAAAATGTAACAAATTTTCAAGAGTTTTGAAGCGGTTTAAATGCGTTGAACCGGTCCAAAAATTTATTATTATTATTTTTTTATTTTCATTTTTTTGTCAACAATCAAATTACAAAAATTTCGTATGGTGTCATTGGTAAGAAATTAAATATTTTCATTTGCAAGACAAAACTTGAATAAACAGTGACATTTCTGTTTAAAAAGTGACAGGTCGACCTGTGTGGTAAAAAGTGAGATTAAAACCTCGTAACAGTTGTCATTTAAAATTTTTAATAAAATTGGCTTTAAATTCTAAAAAACATTACTATTTGTTTGTTGTGTAAAATACTTTGTTTCACTTGACAGCTGTAATTTTAGCACCTGTCTTTTTATCACCTGTCATTTTGACAGTTGTTTTTTTGGCACCTGTCATTTTTACACTTGTTACTTTGGCACCTGGTGTTTTGACAGCTGTCATTTAAACTCTTGTCATTTTGACAGTCGTCATTTTAACACGTCAACAAAGGAAATATATTTTTTTTATCCTGCTTTGTTTTCGAAATACCCAAGAACAAAAAAAATGATTTTTTGTCTATTATCTAGGTTTAAGGTGTTTAAGTGTTGCCTAACCTTTCTAAAGAAATGAAATATAGTAAATTTAAAAGTAAACTACGTACACGTCATCAATCAGCTGATCGGGCACGGTTGTCAATGTGATGCTAAAATCCTTGCATCAAGGGAAAGTGGTAGTGCAACTACAGGGCCATAGATGGCGTTTACATGAATAATACCAAAATGTCAAAAGTCTGAGTTTTTATAACTTATATGATGCACCGCAAAAAGTATGTTTTTAGCCATTTTTAAAGACATTTTCTGATATAAAACCCAAAAATTTTGCCATATAAAGTCAGTCTCTGGTATATATATTATTATTTCATGTATACAACATATATTTTGTTAAATATTCTAATATATAATTAATAATAATCCTATTTACCTCTCTAACAGCTGTTAAAGGTAACAAAGGTCCATTATTATCCCGTTCTGCCTCAAAATAGCGTATTAAGGATGACACCAACTCTTGACTCCGAATATTTAAATGCTTCGGCATTTTAAATATAGGAAACACAAAAAAACGATATATAACAAACACAAAAACGGCAATGAAAACTTAAACGATATAAAATAACATAAACAACAAACAAAATAAACGAAATAATACACGAATTAAACGAAATATTCAAAAACACAACTGACAGCTTCGAAATTCTAAAACGTCAAATTCTTTTATATGTCATTTAAATATGAAAAATTTGAATGTAAACATGACAACATCACAATTGTTGCCAACTTAATTTGGTTAAAATGCATTTAAATATTCAATTACAGACTTCGATTTAGTCATTTAGTGTTGGTACCAATGCGTAAAATTTTTGTTTTATTGATGACGTGTACGTAGTTTACTTTTAAATTTACTATACCTACCTAGTTTTAAGGTGTCATAAGTTGTTTTATTTGTAGACAAAAACTATAAGAAATTTTATAAAAAATAATTTGATTTTATACTTTTTATTGTGAGTATACAGGGGCCAAGATATTCACTTAAAACTGAAAAAATGTATTTTTGCGTATATAAAAATTATCAGGTGGTGCAAATTTGGTTCTATGCTTTTCAAGTAAGGGGACATCCATTAATTACGTGAGGCATTTTTCTGATATTTTGGACCTCTCCCTCCCTCTTGGTGAGATTTGGTGAGATGTGGTAGACTCCCTCACATGAGATTCTAGCCATTAAACTTTCATTGCGGACAACATGATATGAGTATGAGTATGAGTATAAGAGACGTATAACCAGCCCCATTTCCTCTTGACTCTCGAACCCCGTACAGGCCTATGTTTACTTACGCCGATTTTTGTTCTTCCCCAGCAACTGCACGGCTTCACCCGTGTTTGCTGGGTGCGAATGTCCATTGCGTTCCGTACTGTCCCCTATTTGGGGCTCGAGAGCGAGAGGCGAATAGTTATAATAGCCATTCCCGGGTTCGCCGAGCCTATGCTATACGCTCGGTGGGGTATGGATGAGGGACGGGAGGGAGTTGGTTTTTGGGGGACAATTACGCCGACTTAAAACTAAGTACGACGCGGAATCCCCCTAGACCAGTCGATTAGTAATACTCCAAACATTTGGGATTACTATTTGGAGTTGGGGAGTTGTTATTTCGCTGCAGGGGTGTAGTTTCCTAGTCAAGGTCTTTGTCTTGTTCGTTATTGTCATTGTCCGTGTTCTGGTCAGATAGTTCCTGCCCTTGGTAAAGTGTGTCAGTTGTTTTTAATATTTTTGTCCCAAGCACATTTTGTGGTAGAGTTCCGTCTTTGTTTATCAAATTCCAAAGCTTGCATTTATTCACTAGTCAAACAAATCACAAGCGCGATTATTCTGTTGTCTAATGTTTACAAATCTCGAGTTTGGCTATTAGGCCCTTTTTTTTAATGTGTTAGAATGTGTTCAATGTTAGTTTACTCTGTCAGTCCAGTGTTTATTTCGGTCTCGATTGGGACCGCCTTACGCATTTGCTGTTGACAGACTTATTGCCCCACGCCGCGTGCCCTTCATGGGTTTTAAAGATATCCCAATAAACACTTTAACGATATCTAACACCATTAACATTGCCCGTGTAAGAATTTTTAACACTTTTTAATACAATTTTGCAATGATAGTAATTAAAAACAAAACAATTGTTTAAAGTTCTTAACATAATCATATTTTAAAGTTATTTTAACATTTTCAAGTAAAATAAATCTTATGTTTAATGAAATGAATACGGGCAATGTTAATGGTGACAAATAACGGAAAATGCTTGCCGTATTTATATTGCAGATTTGTATCAGGTCATGCATACTCTTAAAGTAAAACTTATCAGATTTTTCCCTTTGCGGATGTCCACCTCCCCTCTTCTCCGACCTCCCCCGTCCGTCCAGTGAAAAGCCTCCAATGACAGGTGGCACCCAAGTCATTCATATTACCCAACACTCCACTCCTCAATGACCGTTACACCATTTAGCTTGCACTCCATGAAAATGTTTGTTTCACTTATCAGTTCGCACCCCTTTTTTTTTAATTATTGTTGGTTTCATCTTTAAACTTTTACGTTTCAAGAGCTCGCCCGCGTGACGCCACTCGTCTTCTCGAGAGCTGGAGCCGAACATTGCGGACAACATGATAAACCCAAAAAATTGATTACATTTTTTTGACAAATTTCTTTGAACCCAAAAGTTGACGTGAGATTTTAAATGAAAAATCCCTTTTTTGTGTACATCTAATTTTTGAATTATTCATCCTAAAGCATTGACCAAATAACATAAATTTCTTGTTCACAAAAAGTTTTTCAAAAAACCGGAACCGTAAAGCCATTTTTGATAAAAATGAAATAAAAAAGAATTGTTTCTCAGAAAGTTGGAGTTAAGGTTTTCCTATGAGCCTTAAAAAAATTATAAAAAAACAGCCTTATTATATCATTATAATGAAGAAACTACTTTTTTTTCGAGCCTCTTATGAAAATATGTTAATTTATGATGTTTTAGGAGTTCTCTCCAAAAACATCTTTTTTAGGGGTCGCTTAAATTTTGTTGCTCGCTACCTTAATTTTTGTAAACGAAAAATAAATACGTATTTTTGTTCTTTAAGATCTGAATAATAATTATAATTATTATGGAAAGTAAAATACAAATTAAGCCATAATATTATTATTGAAAGGTAGCTCAAAAACATGCACTTTGAGAAACTTATTTTTTTATTCTAGCTTATCTTTGAAGAAGGCTCCAAAAACATGATAAACATATTTTCGTAGGAATCTCGAAAAAAATAGTCGTTTATTTAACAACCATATTAATAATTATTAATATGAATACTTAAGTATTCATGTTTTATTACTATACAATAACAATTTTTTTTTGTCTCCGTTGCCTTTTTTTGTTCTCTTGATGAATTTACTGTCGTAGTGGTGCACATTAAATAAAAACGATCATTTTTAATACATTAAGGTGTTAAACAAAAAAAATTAATGACTGCAAAAACACAATTTAGAAAAAATGTATTTATTAAAGTTGCTCATCTTGGTCATGCATTAAGGTGTAAAACAAAAAAAAAATTAATGACTGCAAAAAGACAATTTAGAAAAAATGTATTTATAAAAGTTGCTCATCTTGGTCATCATCTTTGTTTTTATCATCCTCTGTATTATTTTACTGAGGATTTAAGAACATCTTAAAACAAGGTTAAAAATTGTAAAATAAAAATTATTTACATTTTAAGGATCCCCCAAAACAAGCGACTTGCACAGTTTTTGACGCCGTCAAAAATTTGTTGGTGTGGGATCTACGAGCCCTAACAACTATATGTTGGAACAAACAACTAGTTTACAAATAAAACGCTAGTTTACAGAATCAATTTGATTTTAATGTTTTTATATTGTAGAATTGGAATTAGCAACATTTTAGATGTCATTTTATAACAGCCGTGGGAGAAAATTCTCATTATTGTATGATTGAAATTTATTTAAGTGATTCATGTTCAATAAATGCTGACAACTTAATGTTGGAACAAAACGTTTTAAAGTAAACAAAATCAGATATTAATAAGGCGTAACGTCGCCTTTTGCCCGAATAACTGCCTGAACTCTATCAGGCATCGTATTCACAAGGCTTGCACAGAGTTCAGGTGTAAAATTATCCCAAATTTCTTGTAATTTGGTACGCAATTGTGGTATGGTTCGTTGAGGACTATTTCTCAGATGTTGCTTCATCTTGTGCCACAGTGTCTTTATCGGATTAAGATCCGGGCTGCTGGAAGGATGTGACAAAACCTTAATATTATTTTCCCCATCCATTTTTTTGTAGATTTTGCAGTATGGCATGAGGCACCGTCTTGCTGAAATATAAAATCCCCATTGGGATATAAGTTTGCAGCACTTGGTAAAAACGAGCTGGTTAGAATGTCCTGATATTTAGCTGCGTTAACAGTCCCTTCAATAAAGTGCAATGTGCCCAATCCTTTCGCCGACATACATCCCCACACCATAATGCCTTGTGGAAACTTGACTGTTCTTTTGAGACAATCCTTATGGAAGTCTTCTGTCTTGTCTCGAATGATGCGTTTTCTGTAATCTCCCACACAAACATCAAATTTACTTTCGTCACTGTAAATGACTTTACTCCAGTCATTTTTAGACCACGACAGCTTAGATTTAGCCCAATTGTAGCGATTTTTTTTTGAACTTCCGTCAATAATGGTTTTTCTTTAGCCTGTAAATTTATATAAATAAAATTTGCACGATAAATAAATATTAACTATACTTTATAAAAGCTGAGACCACCTTGGTGGATATATTTACGGCAGCATTCTCGGGAAACGTTCATTCCAGACTCTCTATTCCACCTTGCAGTCACTTCCCGCAGCGCGTTTCTTCTTCCTGACTTGCAAATTTGAATCAAATGCCTTGCGCTTCTTTGAGAAACAATTTTGGGACGACCTGAACTTTTACCACGAATATTAATATTCCCGGTTTCACCATATTTTTTAAGGATATTAAACACAGTAGTCGTTGCTATCGCAAATTCAGTAGAAATTTCACGCATTGTTTTGCCTTTATGGTACTGACTGATAATAATTTCGCGTACTTTTCGATCGGTAGGCTTCCCGCGTTTCATTATTGCTATTTAATTGAGCAAAAATTGAAATTGACAGTATTTAAATTGTTGAATTGATAAAAGCTTCGTGGTCATAGCAACCATATTTTGTTTAAAAGCTCTTGAGATAAAAGTGAAGAAACTATAGAGAAGAGAGAATATGTGTTCCAACAATTAGTTGCCAGCGATTTTTGAACAAGAAACAGTTAAATAAATTTTAACAAAAAAATATTAGGAATTTTACCGCAAAAATATTATAAAATGACATATAAAATGTTGCCAATGCTAATTATTCAATTAAAAAAAATTAAAATCAAATTGATTTAATAAACTAGCATTTTATTTGCAAAATAAATACTTGTTCCAACATATAGTTGTTAGGGCTCGTACACGAATTTTTCGTCGCAATATTTATCGCCTAGAATCCTTCAAAGTTGGGGTCAAGCTTTTCTTATGAGCCCCAAACGATTTATGCAAAAAAAATGACCATGGTCAAGGGGTAATTGCATTGTATAGGTGGCATATTTGTTACTTAATAAATTTTAACATTATTGCATTTATCTTCTTAACTATTACAAAAATTTAAAACGACATTTAATAGCTTTTGTTTTAAACTTAAAAGTAAAAATGTCAGTGCTTTACAAGTATTATAGCAAGATTGTTAAAATGTTCATTTGTTTCTTTTATTACAGAGTAATGTAGAAGAGTGTCAACATCGTGTAAGTGACCTGATTGACTTGGAAATATGCTCACAAGGTGTACAGGCAGCAATTCTAGACTCTGATTACGAAAAAGGTGCTGCACATGTCCACAGATTTTTATCCATGGACCAATCCCTACTAAAACGAACAGCGACTGATATGGAAAATGTAACAAACATGATGAAATCTGTCAGAACGCTACAGGATGCTGCTGGTCAGCTTAGAGCAATAGTGGAACATAAATTTAATGAGGCAGTTAAAACTGAAGATTTGGTGTCAATAGAGAGGTTCTTTAAAATATTTCCCTTGCTGGGGGTTCATGAAGAAGGCATTAAAGAGTTTTGTACTTATTTAAGATCGAAACTTGCTGATGCAGCAGATAAAAATCTTAAATCAGCCATAAGCACACCTTTGGCAGATAAAAGACACAGCATAGTTTACGCTGATACGTTAACTTTGTTATTTGAAGGTCTAGCCAGGATAATAGATACCCATCAACCATTACTGGAAACCTATTATGGTCCGGGTCGCCTTTTATCAGCAATAACTATTTTACAGAAAGAATGTGATACTCAAACTAAAAGGATTTTAAATGAATGGTCCAAAAACAGACAAATCGGCAAGAAAACGCAGTTAATTTCCGATGTATCGCGAATGTCAAACAGTTCAAGTTTTAGTAAAATCGAAAAAATTGATCCCAAGGATTTGGATATTTTGATTGGGGAAGTTACACTTATGCATTATCGAAGCGAGCTTTATATTAGGTTTATCCAAAGAAAAGTTAATGTAAGTTTTATTTCATTTGTCACAAATTTAATTTTTATTATATTTCTATTGGAAACAACACCATTTTTCGCGTTGAAGTTTTATATTTATATGTTGTTTTTTAGTTTAAAATTTTTGAAAACCCTTAAAAATGATTAATTTACTTACAATTAACAATAATTATTATTTATTTAAACTATTATTTCTACAAAAGACAATTTAAATATAAATACGACTATTAGGTATGTAAGATATTCGCTTGGGTAAAATTTACGATTAAAGAAAAACGGAGCTTAAGCTTCGTGTGTATACATATAAAAAAATGGCGCAAGGCCCTGTATGACTTGGGGAAGCTTGAAAGCGCATCTCTGATGTGTGTAATGTAGAATAATTGTAACGAAATAACATTTATGTAGGCGTTAATAAATACTGTTGGAATTTCCATTCTAGTCTGACATGGAAGTGGGTGTTCCTGATCAAGAAGCCAAAACCTTGATGACAAAAAATCTGGAACAGCTGATAAAAAACAGCGATCTAAGCCAATCAAAGCATGAATTTCTGTCGCACTACTTGAGATTGGAGCAATATTTTATGGAAGAATCCGTTGCCAAGGCGGTTAATATGGATACGCTAGAAGCTCCGCAACAAACCTCAAGCATGGTGGACGATACTTTCTTCATTGTCAGAAAATGCATAAGGTAAAATAATGAAATTAAATATTTCTTTTTTTTTTCTACCAGATTGTTTATAGGCGTTCGGTATCAACAGGTAGTCTGGACGGTATTTGCGTGATTATAAATAACGCTTGCAGAGTTCTCGAGAATGATTTCTGCGATATTTTGAGAGGGCGTTTAAAACAAGGTTATCCTTCAGGATATTTGGATCTTACTCAAGCTTACAATGTCTTGCAGTCTTCTATTCAACAGGGCAGACTTCAATCCGGAGACACTGAGCAATCCAGGACTGCATTTATAGTAAATATAACACAAATTGTGTTACCATTACCATTAAAACCTCAAGTCATTTTCACAAAAAAATTGGAATTAAAATGCATATTTACTTATTTTGTTCAGATTATTATCAAATCTTCAAAAACACAAATTTAAACATAACAAAATGTGGTTAATAACAGGTCTATTATAACTTATTTTTGATATCTGTTACCTGTTATTTTTGACATCTTTTAAAAATGAGCCAAGGCAGATGTCAGAAATGGCAAATGTAAATAATGACAGTTCATTTTGTTTCGGGTTTGCGTTTCATGTGGCTCATTTTTGAGATCCTGTTTAGCTCATTCAGATCTCCTATAGCTTATTTTTGACAAATCATTTTTGAAATCTTTCCCCTGTTATTTTTTACATGTGGCACCTGTCCTTTTTAAAAACGCCCACAAATTAACCTTCAAATTGTCATTTGATAGCCCTGATAGAATTAGGTTAAGTAAATGAGTAAAATGGCCTTATTTGAGGCTTACAAGTGCATCTGTAAGAAATACAACGTTTAAAACGATTATTAAACAGCACAAGCCCAAAGCACAAAAATTGTTAACAAGAAAAATGGCCGACGTTAAACTCCGTGCAGTGTTGCAATGATTTTTAGTATGCGCGAAACGGATAGAACCAGGGATGTCAGAATTTGTCAAAAAAATCCGCTAGATTTTGTTTAAATGCACCTTTATTACAAAAATGACACAATTAACAATAATGAATAACATAAAATTGACAATTTGCATTGTATCAATGTGTCATTTTTGGATTCAAACAAAATCTAGCGGATTTTCTTGACAGATTCTGGCATCCCTGGATAGAACACACCTTGTTGTGTGGATTGTGCACTTAACTAAACATGTGGTCAGAAATGCTTTCACATTAAAATTTTAATTTTTAAATCGATTTTTCTCTTTTAGGTAGCTTTAAATAACGCTGATGCCGCTATTGAGTACGTGGATACTTTATGCGATAGCGTCATAAAGGAAATTGATCAGGCCTTGCCCAAAATGAATGCAAACGAAAGGGGCAAACTTGAGAGTTGCCTCTCAGGTTTATCGTCGGTCACGACAAACTTACGTGAAGTAATAGAATATGGCATGCAGCAACTGAGGGCCAGTGCCATCAAACCTAGAATCAACCCTTGGGTAGATACATTCCTTAACGTCAACCACCAAATGACTGAGGTAATACTTTTATTTTGAACTGAAACTTCTTTGCGGACGCGGTTAACCAAAACTTACGTTACGAATGATGAAACGGAAACGGCACGCGCACATACCTGCGTCGTATTAGAATATTCGAAACAAATTCGCACGAGGGCATACATTTAAAAAATGGTGGGACAAATTTGTAAAGTTGTTCAAAATTTAAAAAAAATGTTAAAATTTACACACTAGTGTAAATATAAAAAACGGTAGGAAAATTTCCAAAATTTTCTAAAATTTCCAACTTAAAAGTTTAAAAAAGCTCAAATATTAAAAACTTAATTGAGGACATATGTTTCATATTTTTGACACCATAAGTGGATAGTTTCTACTGTAAAATCAAATGTCACAATTGAGTAAGAATTTCTCAAATGGACCACCCAAAAGTTAAAGTTATAATATTTCAAGAGTCTTTTGGACCAAAATTCGATTTGCAAATAGATTTGTTTAAAAAAAATTGTTATATACAATTTTTTCCACTTTATTTAGAAAATTCATAACTCTTTCTTTACTGTAACGATTTTAATTATCTAAACTGTTTTTAATTTGTTATTTAGTGTAGTTTAATTGATTTTTTTTCTGATGAAAAATTTTGCAACTTTTTATACAAATTTTTAAATGAAAAAAAATTACACATTATGATTACATAACATTACATTAAATTACACATTAATAAGGAAAATTTTAGCACTAAAAATGTTGATTTTTCAAGGAAACCTAAACATGTATTTTTTTTAATGTTCAGTATTATACTATAATAATAGATTGTATTGTTTACTTTAGGATGAAATGTCTGCTTATGAAGCAGGAGAACCGTTTGTGCAAACTTTAATAATGAATTTGGACACGCTACTTCAATCATTTAAAGAAGTTTTATCGTCCTCAAACTATGATGCTTTTACTGCTGTTTTAACAGCTGAAGTCACACAAAGATTTGAGAAAGTTCTCTTAAAATCAACATTTAATAGGGTAAGTATTGTATTTCAAGAAAATGCAAAAAATCTGATCACCCCTTAAACCAGTATTTTAACAAAGCTAACTTTTAGATGGGTGGTTTAATTCTGGACAAAGAGGTGCGTTCATTGGCTGGATACATAACAACCACAACTTCATGGTCTGTAAGAGATAAGTTTGCAAGACTGACGCAAATAGCGACAGTGTTGAATTTGGAACAAGTCAGTGAAATTAATGATTATTGGGGCAATCACGATGGTGCACTTACATGGAGACTTACACCTTCTGAACTTAGGAGTATTATGTCTCTAAGGTATCTTTTCATAACTAATACGTAACGTAATAAGTAACTTTAAATAATTATTTTTAGGACCGATTTTAAAATTGAAGACATACGAAGAATTAAGTTGTAGTTATTTTTAAATAATAGATTTTGTAATATTATATTGTAAAACGAGTGTTACAATGACCCTTATTGTGATACCGAGTGATTTTGCCGCACTTTACTAGGTTGGCACAATTGAAGTGAAGCGAAATGTCAAAATTAAATCAAGTCAAAATAAAACATCAAATTTTGTTTTGTCTTTGTAAAGCTTAATTTTCATGTATCCGTTTGTCCGTCATCCGTATGTCAGTTTTTCAATAAAATCGTCCGATAAGAAATGTTCTAATTTTCATGCATACGTTTTTAAATGACGTTTAACAAATAGACAAATAGAAATTAAGTGTCAGTATATTAATATAGTGAATTCACTTACTAAATTTACCTAATGCTTAATTGTCATAGTTACAATTATGTCAACAATTGTAACTTTAACAGTTAGCTGTCTAATAAATTTAAAGGGATGTAAATATACCTTATAAAAAGAATATAATAGCCCTAATATACATTAAAATGTATAGTTTTAAAAAAGCAAGTCCTTTTAGTTCTAGTTTTAATTTTTTTTTGTTTGTCCTTTCTTTTTTTCCGTTATTCTTATTAAATAAAAACTTAACAGTAAAACATTATTCACATAACGAACGTAATATTTCCGTTTTACAATCTTATTGAAAAAATATAAAAATATTTGAAAATAAATTATCTTAAAATAACGTTAGGCGTCAAAAACAGATGTGTAGTGACGGATGAGTTAAAATTATTTAACCTTTCTTTGTCAGACGTACGAAGTTGAAACTTGACGGACCGATAAAATGTCATAATTTTCGAATTATAATTGGACCAATAAGAGCGCTCCCGGATGAACGGACAAACGGATACATGAAAATTAAGCTTAAAAAACGAGTTTTTTCCTTGGCTGCGTTCATGACGCCATAAAATAAATCATGCACTATGAGTTTACACGACGCCATGGCATTCATGACATGCATGTTAACTCTACTCGAGAAAAGCTTCATGAGTATGAGTATAAAAGACGTATAACCAGCCCCATTGCCTTATCACTCCCGGACCCCGTATAGGCCTATGTTTACTTACGCCGATTTTTGTTCGCCCCCAGCAACTGCACGGCTTCACCCGTGTTTGCTGGGTTCGAATGTCCATTGCGTTCCGTACTGTCCCCTATTTGGGGCTCGAGAGCGACATGCGAATAGTTTTAATAGCCATTCTCGGGTTCGCCGAGCCGATGCTATACGCCCAGTAGGGTATAGAGGAGGGACGGGAGGGATAGACGTTTGTTGGGTTTGGGGGGCAATTACGCCGACTTAAAACTAAGTACGACGCGGAACTCGAGAAAATTTTCATTTTTAAGCTTCATGGACATGAAAATTGAAAGGGTTGCCAACAATCTGAAATAAAAAATGCCTAATTTTAATGCTTCTTAGTAGTGCGTCCAATATCCCTTAGTACCATTGAAATAGCTTACCTTATATAAAGTATGTTCTGAAATATGGAAATAGGAAATAAAATATCAACAGTTGGTGTTATATTTTATGTACACAACCTTTTGACAAGAATATACAGTAAATTGTGCTTGCATATACCTATTTAAAATTCTACAATTGTATACAATATTATTTTATTAGACCAGGACGGACAAACTGTTTCACATAATTTACTGACATTCAAACATTGATTTGCGATTAAAATTACACCAGAACAAATAAAAAAAAAAGTGTTACTACAGATTTTCAAATTTTTATCACAGAATACATCAGTATCAATCAAAAATCTTACAAACAAATTTAAAAAAGATGCTATTTATAAACCAAATAACAGTCTCAAGGCCACTTTTCCTTACAAACTTACTTAAATATACAAAAAAAATTGTTCTCATGTGTTTGATCTTACATAGTCCCATTTTTGTACTAACTCGAGCAAAAACCTGCTTGATAGTTTTAAAACATTTCTACATTATATACTTAAAATCGATAAAAACAATTTAGAGAAAAGCTACTTCAATAATTTTGTTTTTAAACAAAGTTACAACACTCTTGACTGAGCAGTTTTAATTATAATTACCATGATTTTGTATACTGAGCCCTTGCCTTTTTCTTTATTAACAAAAAATAAATCTGAATTTGAAGCAAAAAAACGTTTTAACTGAAAGTATTAACATCGCAAGCGATTTAAGGCATTCATTGAAAATTTTAATCCCTAAGCTTAACTACATTTTACAGTTACAAACTAACTAATATATTGTTTATATTTATTTATAGAGAAAGCGTTTTTGGCATAACTTTGATACACGTTTCCCGTATTAGAGGGCTACATACCAAATAAATAATATTTGTTAAAAAATAAATTAGGAAGCTAAATCAGACGCGACAAATCGTCGTCTCATCGTCTGCCAAAGAGATAATTAAATGAGAGAGAGAGAGAAATATACAAGTTTTTTATATGGTTAATTAATCGTTAAATATACTGTGGAGGAGTTCTTCTAGTCCATGCCCACACTCAGGCACTCCATCTGTCTCATAAAAAAGGATTGTTGGAATTCATACCACCTGTTGCACCAACCTAAAAATAAGAAAAAATATTTGTATAATTATTTTTTTTTAATTTACAATACAATATTACTTAAATAATATATGAATACACAATATACGCGAATGTACACAATAGGAAAATAGTTATGTATGTCATGTCACGTCACGCTGAGAAGTCTTTTTGTGCTGAGCTCAAAGTTTGAAGGCATGGTTTTATTTTTTATGTTTCTTGTTATACATAAAACGTACTTTCAATTATTGTTATAATTATAATGTAATTATAATTGTTAATTATATATTATAAAAATTTAATAACAATTATTCAAAGTATGAAGTGAGGTTAGATAGCTTCAGAACTGTCAGCAGTTATTGCATTTTTTTTTGGTCCAAAACTTACAAAAAGGTGTGTCAAAGTGAAAGGTAGTTATATTGAATAAGAATTGTACATAATACTGTTTTTTTGGTTATGGATGCATTTACATAGGTATCTCGTATCCAAGGCGTTATGACAAAATAACGGCCAAGTAAAAAATAAAAATTGGTATTTGACTGTACAGTGTAAAACTTTACCTTACCTTTTTTTAGTGTATTTGGAACGTGATATATTATTTTAAACGATATGGTCATATTTTCTGTCAAAAAAATTCAGTTCTTGTGAATTTGACTAGCTTAATTATTGTTGAATGTTTAATTTTTTAAATTAAGGTAAATTACACATTTTCGGTATTTGTTTTTGAGAGAAAAGATTACCAAATCGTATAAAACTAATAAATCCCGTTCCAAATACACTAAAAAAGGTTCTACAGGGTGTCCGGGAAAAGGAAGTCAATCCGTTAACCATATATTCTTTGAGTTAAAACAATAAGACTTTCATAATACCATTTTTCAATTTAGAGCTTCATGTTCGATATACAGGGCGACAAAGTTTAAAATTTAAAACTGATTTTTTTTAATAATTCGAGTAATTGATAAGATATTAAGTTCAAATTCGGTACACTACTTCAACATAAATAGTTACATTTTTTGAGACCAACAAAACAAAAAACAATTGTCAAATAATCAAAATAGGGGGGTTCAGTACTCACTGACTCCCCCTATTTTTTAGTACGTGCGCCAATGATTTCCAAACGGTATTTTTTCAGGTAAACATTTATTGTTAAACAAATTTTGTCTCCTATAAAATTTTGATAAAATGATTTGTTTTAGAGATAATTTGTAAAGTATGGGTCAAATTAAGGTAAATTACACATTTCCGGTATTTGTTTTTGAGAGAAAAGATTACCAAATCGTATAAAACTAATAAATCCCGTTCCAAATACACTAAAAAAGGTTCTACAGGGTGTCCGGGAAAAGGAAGTCAATCCGTTAACCATATATTCTTTGAGTTAAAACAATAAGACTTTCATAATACCATTTTTCAATTTAGAGCTTCATGTTCGATATACAGGGCGACAAAGTTTAAAATTTAAAACTGATTTTTTTTAATAATTCGAGTAATTGATAAGATATTAAGTTCAAATTCGGTACACTACTTCAACATAAATAGTTACATTTTTTGAGACCAACAAAACAAAAAACAATTGTCAAATAATCAAAATAGGGGGGTCCAGTACTCACTGACTCCCCCTATTTTTTAGTACGTGCGCCAATGATTTCCAAACGGTATTTTTTCAGGTAAACATTTATTGTTAAACAAATTTTGTCTCCTATAAAATTTTGATAAAATGATTTGTTTTAGAGATAATTTGTAAAGTATGGGTCAGTCCATATCAAATCAACCAAAGGTTCTTCCCCCACCATCTCAGATTTTGATAATTTTTGGTAAATTTGTTTACCTCACTAAAAAACTCAAAAATCCCATATATGAATTTTTTTCGATGGGTGGTTTTTGTTTTATTGATTTTTGAAAATCAAGAAATTCCGATAAATTTTGGTTTTGCAAGTACTTACAAAAATAGCGATATCTCCTAAACTATTAAAAGTAGAAAGGTGAGTGATGGCTTATTTTAAAGGCCTATTAGTGACCTTTTTTATGACATATCACATGTCCTAAATTTTGATATGATTGACCCATACTTTACAAATTATCTCTAAAACAAATCATTTTATCAAAATTTTATAAGAGACAAAAAATTTTCAACAATAAATGATTACCTGAAAAAATACCGTTTGGAAGTCATTGACGCACGTACTAAAAAAATAGGGGGAGTCAGTGAGTACTGGACCCCCCTATTTTGATTATTTGACAATTGTTTTTTGTTTTGTTGGTCTCAAAAAATGTAACTATTTATGTTGAAGTAGTGTACCGAATTTAAACTTAATATCTTATCAATTACTTGAATTATTAAAAAAAATCAGTTTAAATTTTAAACTTTGTCGCCCTGTATATCGAACATGAAGCTCTAAATTAAAAAATGGTATTATGAAAGTCTTATTGTTTTAACTCAAAGAATATATGGTTAACGGATTGACCTCCTTTTCCCGGACACCCTGTATATAGAGTTTTTTTGATCGAAAATTAAATGATTTGTCACCTAATGTTGGTGTATAAAATAAAATTATATATAAATTATACTGTACAAAGCAAACAAGCAGACGTTTTTAAAAAGATCATTTTCTAAAACTATGTAAACATTGTAGATTTTATAGTATAATAATTCATAATTTAAAAAATTAAAATTGTAACTGTTGACTAATATCTAATAAAATTACTAAGAAATAAGTTATTACCACTTTTTTCTTAGAATAAATAGTTTGTGGCAAGGTTTGCTATCCACAGCTGAATTAGAAGATTGATAAATTAAAATATAGGAAATATAATATACTTTTCTAAATCGGCAGAATTCGTGGTAAAAACAGGGTTTGATTACGCGTTTCGGTATTGTTGCTCGTAACTATACCTGCTAACTATGTATGTAAAAAATTGCTTTAAGAAGCTATTTTCTTTAGAAAATATTTTTTCACTGTTACCTATTTAATCGTTTAAATAAAAATAATAATGTTTTTTATTGGAAATTGTTAATTAGTTATATAATACACATTTATAAAGAAAAAAACCAAATTATCATCCATAAAAAAAATCTAAAGAGGAAAAAACAAGAATTTCATTTTGACTTTAACTTTAACCTTGAATAACTTTTGATTGAGTCAATTTAGCCAAAAATGTTAGGAGGCTTTTTTTGTAAAGCATTTGATTTCCCATAAGAATATTTATCGTTTTTTTATGGGTACTGATTTTTACATGAATTACAAAATTCCAAAGTTAAAAGATCAAAATGTAAAACTATACCAATTTTTAAGGCATGATTTTAAGGAAACGGTTCATCTGACGGAAAATTTCATTTAAACTTTTTTGTAGAGCATTTAATTTAAAAAAAAAAATATTTCTGAGTCAATGGTTCGGGAGTTCTGAGACAAAAACTTGCTGAGGAAAAAAAATTAAAATTACGATGATAGACCTTTTAACATTAATATTATGAACTCAAACTTTCACAATAATTTTTTTTTGTCACCCCAAACCATATTTTCGATATACTTTTCAAAAAACAAAAATAGTTGATTTTTTTGGCCCAGTCTAATAAGTATAGTAACTATAATACTGCGATTTTTTTTCCACAATTTAATAACTTTAAATTACTTTGCGAATTTTGTTCCAATATTCTAATACGATGCAGGCATGTGCGCCCAGCGTTTCCGTTTCATCTTTCGTGACTTTAAGTTATGGAGAAAATTTAAATGTATTATTTTAAAAATATCGTCACGAAATCACTATTAGTAAAACTTTTCCCACAAAAAAGTATTTTCTACTCTAAACTTTATTCTTAAATACACTTTATAATAGCATTATGGTGGTTGACTTGTGGTTCAAAAAACGACCCCTGGCACACAAACCGTGAACGAACTACTAATACAAATCCCATTACAATAATTACCTTAAACGGATTTGGCGCCCATGCCGCAGCCCCGTTCACCGGCATCGGATTTATGGGAAACGCGAGCGGCTGGAAGCCCTGCGAAAATCCGTTCGACTTTGTCGCGTCCCTGAACGGATTCGGAAACGCGCCGTTGCTACCGTTGCTACTGCTGCTGCTACTGCTGTTACTGGTGATGTTGCCGTTCGTCGAGTTCCAATTGAACGTGCCATTGCTAAACGGATTCGAAACCCCGCCAGCGCCGTTCGTCGTTGTCGACATACCGTTTTCTTGTAAAGGCTGGAAGGCACTCATAAAATTACCTGAAACAACAGTTAATATTATTTTACCAAATATTGCTAAGGCAAAACACTTTAGATCCTTAACTTTATCGAATGAGGTAAATATAAGCACAAACCCGCTACCATATACAGGGTGATTTGTTAAAAAATTACGGTTCTATAATTTTCCGAAATAAAAGGTATTCAGAACAAAATAAAATACCCTGTGATAATTCCATTTTAAAATACAAGGATTTTTTAATAAAGATACTAACTATTCAATAAATTGTTTAAAATATATTAAAATATAGAAAACCACAGATACGAAAATATGGTTAATAATACCCAAAACTTTTAAGTATTATAAACCATATTTAAATAATTGTGGGTAACAATTATTTAAATTTTTACACGAAAATGCAAGATAAATAATAAAAAACCAGGGGCCACCAAATGGCGGATCGCGGTCCAGATCCAGCCCGAAGGTAATTTTATGCAGACCTTAAAGACAGGATTTTTTTACTTCAAAGAAATTAAAATCATAGATTAAGAAAAACTGACCAATGATGTATAGATATTAGGATGTACTAAAAAAAAGGCGATATCGTTTTTTTTGCTCACAGAAAACGTCGGAATAAAAATTCTGTCCAAATCCCAACCCTTAATTTAAATTTTAAGAGGTGCATCAACGAGCTTTAAAATTTTGTTAAATTTTTGTACAATTTTTTTGTATCAATAATAGTTAAAAAGTTATAGACCCACCAAGTCTCATTTTTGTAATTTTTTAATTGTAGTACGTAAACTATTGATGATAGGTCAAAAAGTTAAAAAGCAATGTTACAGTGCTATGCTTCGTCACAAGAAATCCTACTTAACATTTGAATATAAATAATTGAGGTTATGTATCTGTCAGTTTAAGGCTAATTTTGTCTTATTTTCTAAACAAACTATTGTGATTTTAAAAATAATGCAATACAGGGTGCACCGAATTCCTTCTATCATAGAAGTTCTATGTAGGGGTATATGTTTTGTTTCTAGAGCTACATTAAAGTAGAGAAAAGTTTCGTAACTATAAGTCTATTAAAATGGCATTTAAAAATTGGGGAAAAAATAAGCAGTTCTCAAATAATTTAAAAAGAACTGAAAACCTGTCAACACCAAAAATCCTTGTTCCTGGGAATTTAGAAAAAAATAAGTTAACAAAGATACGGGTTATTCCAGCAAAATGGGAAAATTTACGGTTACCCTAAAATATTTCGAAAGTCTATTGCAAAAATATTGTAAAATGCTAAACTGAAGTCGCCCTATGTTAATGCTAGCTGTCTAAATAAAAAATATTTAAATATACATTCTGTAAAGGCATAATTTATAAAAATATTACATTTTCTCAACTACATATGGACATCAACTACATGGACATTGTTGTCCATGGAGTGGATCAGTGTACATGTGTTGACGAAATGTAAATGTAATATTCACATATACATTCTGTAAGGGCATATTATCAAAATATTACATATGGACATATGTCCCCATGGACATCAACTCCATGGACATTGTTGTCCAAGGAGTTGATCAGTGTACATGTGTTGACGAAATGTAATATTCACATATATATCTATTGTGTCTTTTAAGCTGCAATGGCAAAAAAAGTAAACACAGAAAAAAGACGAAATTATTATTATATTTACGGAATATTAAGGAATTTTTATGTTTTTAAAAGTTTTCTGCACTTGTACTGTTCTTGGACTAATCAATTCAATTTTAATTGGGTAAATATTTTTTATTTAATGTTTTACTGTACAAAATATCATTTTTATTGTTACAAAATATAAAAATGACATTCTTTATAACTTAATATAGTAGAAAAAACATATGGCCCTCAATTACATTATCTATTTTTTTTCAGATTTAAAAAAAAACGAGAAAAATTTTAAAAAATAACCCTGATTTTTGTAGCAATAGTTTAAATTAGAATTTGGCGCCACTTTCATAAATGACTATCATAAGTGATCGACTGAATTTTAAATGTGACCGATTTTAAATTTCGCGGCCAAATTACAAGGTAATTAACAAAATTATAAAATAAAAAAAATTCTAGTTAACTATTTTCTTACATATAAGAATATAGTTAACTAGAAGTTTTTTTTATTTAATATATATATGTATGTATATATTAAAAAAAAACATTGACTACAATAATTATTAAACATATTGACTTACTTTGACTAGGGGAGCCAAATAGCGAGCTCTGCGGGGACGATGAACTGTACATGGATCCAGTCGGCGTGGGGGAGCTGTATAGCGAACCGTTGGAGCCGGTGGATCCCCAATCGACGGCCGATTGTGATTTTAGAGCGTTGTCCAGATCTTTGAGGGCGGCGTATTTGTCTTCGACAGGCACCGTCTGAGCCGGTTGTGGTTGTACCTGCTGTTGCTGCTGCGTCCAGTTGTTTAGGTTTAAGCCAGATTGCGCCAGCAAAGCTATAAGATGAAAAATATACATGATAATAACATATTATGTATAACAACCACTTTAATGTTTGAAAAATATTACTAAATAGGTAAATATAATGAAGCATATAGGAAACATATGAATCTGCAAATGGATTTGGTACCACCACCTTTTTTAGTGTTTCTGATTTTTTTAGTATTTCGTTGTATTCATACAAATTTTAATTAAACCCTTTGTAGTATTTTTATAAATTCTTAAAAAATTGTTTTTATGGCATGTTTACTGTTTAACAAATAAGTTTAAATGTAGATTAACGCAAAAATACATTACTTTCAAAAATCCGACACTAGAAAATGATCATGGAATTTATGTAAAACAAACCTAAAACTAAGCGCTAAAACCAAAAGAGCAAATGTCAACGTTACGTATGGAAAATGTTAAAATAATTAGTATTCTACAAAAAAAAAACTAAATTAGCCTGTTGCAGTGCTAACTTACTGGTAAAACCATTATCGTTATTGTTATTAACTGGGGAGCACTTGGGAAAAAGAGGCACTTGGTTCAGCATCGGACCGCTATTCGTGAATTTTAAATCGAATATGCTGAAGTCGTCCGCCGAAACAACTGAAAGAAAAATCTCAACTTTAACAAGGCTACGTTGTGGTTTGGCACGGTCTGCTGGACCAGATGGATTTTTCATTATCATTAGGATAAAAAAACAACGCCCGCGTTTGGCACCTGGCTTTTCACGGTCCCAGTCGTGGGAATCGTGTTTCAGAGACTTAATCATTGCGCGCACCACTGACTTCCATGCGACACTGGGGGTTTGCTAACTTATAATAATTTATGGTATTTAAAAGAAAACAATAGCCATGTTACAAACATCATAATAATCGTTTTTGTTTGCAAATAGGTAGGTATGTGTGTTATTAAGATAAGAAACTTGTAGATTAAATTAAATTTTTTAGTATATGTACTACGCTCCACACCCAAATATCTCAAAAATAAAACAACATTCATATTAAGAACATTTATATGCAAAAATACATATATAATTTGTATTATTTCCAGAAAATAAAACGAAATTGGCGTTAAACTGACAAATACATATTATTTGTATTCAAATGTCAAAGTGGTAGTCTGTGTTCAAACTCGACGCATTTGCTTTATTGTGCAAAAATGGAAAGAACATATTGAAATGGTTTACAAAAACCTTAATTTTCCACCAAAAAGATGTTTGTAAAATTTTGAATGAATATTATTTTTTCCAAGAAATTTTCATTTACCATATTTCAAAAGTTGTAAATTTTCTGAATATAATTCGTGATCCCAACTAGATTTTTAATTGCTTTTCCCGTTTTTGAACAATAAAGCAAATTACATTTTAGGATTAATTATAATAATTATTACCTAAAAAGGTACTAATTTAAAGAAAATTGGGTTTGAAAAACTAATTTAAGTGTTTTATTGATAGCAAAGAATATTTAGATAAATAAAATCTCAATTAGAGTGATAAAATTTAACAAAAAGGGGGCCACGGATAGCGCAGTGGGTTAGGCGACTAAGCCGGAACAAACTGCGAGGACCGTGGTTCGGATTTCACGTTAAATTATTTCAAGTTAAATTATATTCATTATAGTCCAGTTAAACCATACACAAAGTGCACCAAGTATCTTTCTATGTATGGGTATATTTTTTATTTAAAGAGGTACAAGTTTGGTTAAATTAGACAAAAGACAAGTCTATTAAAATAGCAATTAAAATTGAAAAAAAATCTACGATTTTTAAATAATTTGAAAAAACTTAAAACCTGTCAAAAAAATCGTGATAACTTCGTTATTCCTGGGAATTTTAAAAAAGTAAGTTTAACATGTAAACATACTAATTTTCATCCAATTTGTGATTTTTTGCCTGGATTTTAAGATACCACCACCATCTTTTGTTCTTTCTACGGCCGCTATACTGAAATTTTGCATAGTCAGTTATTCTGCATAAATGGTGGCGGCCATTACAAAACAAAAGATGGTAATGGTAAATGAAAACATAAATTGGACAAAAATGTGTATGTTTACATGAAAAAGTTACTTTGTTTCAAAATTCTCAGGAATAACAAAGTTATAACGATTTTTGGTTTTGAAAGGTTTTCAGTTTTTTCAAATTATTAGAGAATCGCTTTTTTTTTAATTTTTAAATTTCATGGTAATAGGCTTGTAAGTCAACTTTTCTCTAATTCAACCGACCTTGTACCTCTTCAAATAAAAAAATACCCATAGAAGGATATATACCTACACATAGAAGGATACTTGGTGTACCCTGTATAGTTGTTATTTTTTTCTTAATAAACCTGAATGAATCTTTTCCATAATTTGGTCAACTCCTTTAAAAAAAACAAATAGCACCCAGTTTACAGATTTACTGAATTCGAGGTGAAAAACTAAGTCGTGTTACACCCCCTTAAAATGTTATCGGTTGGAATAAACAGCTATAAATATTTAAATATATATTTAAAAGTGATATATTTTTTTAAAACCTTTGTTGATACTTTATATTTTAAGCTAACTTTGTATGCAAATATAAGAACAATGTGATAAACGAACGAGCATTAGATAAATATAAGAGGTAGATATAATTGGTGTAACACATACAAGGCTACAGTTTCCGCAATCCGATATTTGACACTATTTTTTTAGTGTTTAAAGTGCAACATAAAAATGTTGCATAAATTATTTATTTCAAGGCAAGAACACAATAAACATTAAAATTTGTTGGATCTTGGGAAAACAAGCAAAACTATTAAACATTATTAACTTAAATATAAAATGAAATAAAAATATGAAAAGTATTGATTTTCGTATGTTTATTATTACTACAACCGAAATAATTTATGAAATATTGATTACTTGCAAAGTATGTAAAACTACAAGTATGTATTTGTAATCTATCCTTGTATAAAAAAATCCATAAATAAATCTTTGACTACCATTGTTAAAAGTAAATTAAACTTTACCGGATGTATAACTTTCGTTTTCCTCTGCATGACAAAATAGCTTTATTTAATTTCACCGAGGTCAAGAGTTAGCAATAATTAAAATTAAAAAGTGAAAAAAAACTTCGCGAGAGTTTGCAGAATATTAATTTGTTTTTCATATTTAAATATTGTGAACAAAAAAGCCATGAACTTTCACTGCGACCGATTAATAAATAATTAATTTGCAACCTTTCGTACAGATCCCGTACTATTAAGACTTGGTACTTTATAAAAACCTGATAATTTCACTTGTGATATTATAAAAAATATAACGTCAACTTTGTTACTTCCTACTATACAATTATTATATTATACTGGTTAACATATTTTAACTTTGATGTGCAGGTTTCAAACTGTATTATTTAATAATTTAGTTTACGTCTAATACGGTTTAACACGATTTCCCTCTGATAACCAATTTTAACAGATTTTGAAAATAGAGATTAAAAAAACGTTTCCGAGTCACCGTTTAACGAGATCACGTCATTTAATTTTTTTAAGCAGCCATTTTTATTATTTTAATTTATACAGCTTTGTTATAAATCATTTTTTTTTAAATATTTTTTGTTTTTACATAATTAATAATGAAACCTATTTTTTTTTCAATAACACAACAGATTTGTATTTATCTTATATTCAATATATTTTGGAAAAAAATCTTGGTCGTTTAGTTTGACGATTATACTATGCTTTAGAATCTCTTAGAATGCCCGACGTCTTTTTCTTTGAGGCGTTTCTTAATTGTTGGTGTCTTGGTAAAAACGTTCGCCATGTTTATCCCTAAAATCGCCAACGAAATTTGGGGGTTTAGTTGGGAAATGCTAGGGACCCTAAATTTATAATTATAAGCTACTCAATGTAGCTATAGGTACATTAAGTAGAACAAACTAGTTTAGTGGAGAATATATTTGTTGTTATGTTCTATAAGAAAATAATTATAAATTTTGAAATGTCAAATATAACTTGTTAAAAAATGCAATAACTTTACATGTGACTATACGTCCCAAAAGAAGCAAATTTGCATTCCCAGCATACAAATTCAAATGTATGTTTATACTACCAAAATATATTAATAAACAATACCAACATAATCATATGTGTCAAATTCCGAATAAAAAACGAACTTTCATGTCCTGAAAGGCAGAAACCATTTCTGCAACAATTTCTTTGTGGTTGTCAGCTTTTTTGTTTCCCGAAAAATAAAAAATGAAATATGTATGGGTTAAGTCCCAGATAATGGGACATATTTAACGTAACGGTAATTTTATTATATAACCTAAACCCACGAAGTATCCCCCAAATCTCTTGAATCAAAGAAAATTTTACAGTTATTTCAAAATAAAATCAAGATCAACAAATCCTCAGGAATCCTAGAAAATTGTTTAAAAAATTTTACCTTCATCATTTTTAACTTAAAATTATAGGTTTACCTTGTTTATATTGTTTAAGTCTAAGTAAGTAAGTTTAAATAGGCGATGGTACGTTCTTCGGGAACTTCAAGTGTTTCCCAGAAAAATATAATATTGGCAAAATTCTTCGAGTTATGGAGGTCCAAAACCTCAGTGTAAACTTTATTTCCCACAGATTTCCCATAGATTATTTCAAACTTAAGAAACAAAATAGGATCATGTTAATAGCTTAAAAATTGATTGTTTTAGTTAATTTTTTATGAAAATCTAATGAGCGAGCTCGTGAGATACAAAATAAAAAAATGGCGTATGAAAACAAATATAAAATTAAATATCATTAAAAGTTGACTTTTTTATTACATTTATTAAGTATAAAAAACAGTTTTTTGCACATTCCTTGCTATGTACGCAAAATTATTCTAGATCCGTTTCAAAATTTTATCTTCACATTTTTAGTAATTTTTAAACGGCTAAAATTAAAAAAAAAAATGTTTAATACTCGATTGCGAAATTCTTTTGCATTCTTGAAGGAATTTTTTGCTCGCTATCGCTAACAAACAAAACTTTCATTCTCGAATACAAAAGCGGCATTTTGCAATCTAGCATCAAAATGTCTATTCTTGAAATCTGTGCTGTAAAAAATCTGAAATTATTTGTAAATGTGTCGGATGCTTCCAAAATCATATAGTAATCTATACAATTTTGAAACTCTTCAAACGAGCGTATAGGGAGTGAATCAAATTTCCAAGAGGTAGAAAAACCACTTTTCTTACGCATTGAACAGTTATTTTTTTGTAATAATTAATAAATAAAAAATCATCGTATATCGTTATAGTCGCTCCAAGTAAACTACTGACATCTATCATTTAGACGTTCTAAACTAGAACTTTTCTTTCCGATTTTTAAGATTTGCTAATTACTATTGTTAACACAATTGTATCTAAGAAAGTTAACCGTAACATAAACTTAACCAACGATTGAAAAACCGGCCCTATTAAACAATAATTAATAAATAAAAAATCATCGTATATCGTTATAGTCGCTCCAAGTAAACTACTGACATCTATCATTTAGACGTTCTAAACTAGAACTTTTCTTTCCGATTTTTAAGATTTGCTTAAATACAGTTATTTATTATACAAGACGATACAATTTTATGAATTAATTTCGTGAGACTATAATGAAATTTTATCATCGTGAGTAATATAATGTTTTTTTTCGTATTCTTTATGGAAACGAGAATACTTTATTGAGAGAAAATCGTAAAGAAAAGTACTAGTTTTTTGGTTAGCAACACTTTTATCACAGATTATAAAATACTTTTGTTTAGTTTTTCTTCATAATTTAATCCATGGTTTTATTAGTATTAAAGTAACGAATTTGTATCGTCGGTATCTTTTATTATTAAATATTTAAATAATGAAGGTAGAATTTTTTAACAATTTTCCTGGGGGTCAAAGTAATGCGCGATTTGTGTGAAACAAATTAATAGATGTGGACTGAAATCGTTAAAACAGTTATTTTTAATATACTCTGTATATAAAAATGCTTGTAAAGTTTGTGGACATGTTTGAAACACTATGCAATTATAATTTAAATGATTTTTAAGGATATGGCTTATTTTTAAAAGTTCTATAACCTGTTAAAATTATGCTTTATCTTTAAAAACATTTTGTAAATATAATTGATGATTTTGTTTTTTTAGGACAGATGTTTCTTATTTACTTTACTCGGAAATTTGTATGACTCACCTGTTGAACTGCCATTCGACGTGTGATTAGTAAAAACTGGATTGTTGTCGAAATTAGCGAAGCCATTTGTGATACCGTTTTGCATGTTGCCGTTGTGGTTGTTGTTGATGCTGGCGTTGTTGCCGTTGCTCATGGAAAAAATGTCGGCCTTATCGAAATCGGCCACAAAGTCCACGTGGGTTCTGTTCGCTTCGGGCCTCGTCCGGTGCGTGTTCTGGGGGGGCGGAACCGTTGCCGTGCCATTTGTCAAACCGTTTTGTCTCACCTAAAATCACAAAAAATTGTTTAAGGAGTGTACAGGGTGATCCCCTATAAAGTCGCCCCCCTTTAAATTTTTTATTTTAACTGTCCCAATAAATTTAAAAGTATGGTTATGTAGGTACTAAAAATACTTTTTTTCTACGTATACAATGTGTCCACGGATGGACTATACTTGTAAAAATATTTAATTTTAATTTTTCAAGAAAAAGTCATTTTTCATAATTTCTTTTGCTTGTTATATTAATACTATTCGCGTTGGGAAACATCCATTTAGTTGTACAGGGTGAGCAAAAACACTGATTTTCAAAATTTAAAAATTTTAAATATTTTTTTTGAAGCTCTAATAAAGAGTTGGTAAGAAGAAATTAAAAAGTCAAATGAAGTTTTTTCATATGAGTTTTTGATACTAAGATATTTGATATTGAAAATTTAAGATATAATAATAATAATAATAATAATAATAAACGTCTTTATTGAAATAAGGAAATACATTATTCCAAATGGCGGAATTTGAATTTAAACATTAAAAATGTAAAAATTCACTCTTACATTCAACCAAAGTTGTTTTCAAATTTTAACAAATAATTGTAGATATTGTAGACATGTCAGTTGAAAGCAAAAACCTTGATTCATAATCACAAAATAAAATAGCAGTCAATTTCTACAAAATAATAGGACCACTCAAGTTGGAACCTGAATTGATTTTATTTTTAATAAAAAATATCTTATTAACAATTCACATTCTATTAATTGTATTTTTTTGCGCACCCTGTATAACAAAATAGAAGTTTCTCATCGTGAATGGTTTTTATATAACAAGGAGAAGAAATTATGAAAAGTGACTTTTCTTCGAAAAATTGTGAAAAGTATAGTTAAGTCCATTTATATCTACATAAAAAAATTATCCTTATGGTGCAGTAGCACTTTAAAAAGATTTCCGTTCCTCAATTAAGCGTATTATTTGTCATGAAAGAAGTAAGTATTTTTGTGCAGAGCTTAAAGTTTAAAGGCCGTCGCATAGAGCCCTCCTCGAGGAGGGCTACAATTTAGCAAAGCACAAAAATACCTTCTGAGACGAATGGCATACAACATTTTATCTTCAAGTTGTAATGTTTTTCAGAATTTAAATTTTATTTGTTAAACGATACATGAAAAGTACAATTACTTAGTAAATGTAAAAAGTAAGGTTAGAAACATCTGACAGTTGTTGAATTTGAAGATTGGATACGAGAGGCGAGAAACTCCCAATTTAAAACCCAAATCACAGTCAATAATTAAATCGACCAATCACTGACGCACAACAACTATAGTAAATTTAAAAGTAAACTACGTACACGTCATCAATAAAACAAAAATTTTACGCATTGGTACCAACACTAAATGACTAAATCGAAGTCTGTAATTGAATATTTGAATGCATTTTAACCAAATTAAGTTTGCAACAATTGTGATGTTGTCATGTTTACATTCAAATTTTTCATATTTAAATGACACATATAAAAGAATTTGACGTTTTAGAATTTCGAAGCTGTCAGTTGTGTTTTTGAATATTTCGTTTAATTCGTGTATTATTTCGTTTATTTTGTTTGTTGTTTGTGTTATTTTATATCGTTTAAGTTTTCATTGCCGTTTTTGTGTTTGTTATATATCGTTTTTTTGTGTTTCCTATATTTAAAATGCCGAAGCATTTAAATAGTCGGAGTCAAGAGTTGGTGTCATCCTTAATACGCTATTTTGAGGCAGAACGGGATAATAATGGACCTTTGTTACCTTTAACAGCTGTTAGAGAGGTAAATAGGATTATTATTAATTATATATTAGAATATTTAACAAAATATATGTTGGATACATGAAATATTAATATATATACCAGAGACTGACTTTAGATGGCAACATTTTTGGGTTTTATATCAGAAAATGTCTTTAAAAATGGCTAAAACATACTTTTGGCGGTGCATCATATAGGTTATAAAAACTCAGACTTTTGACATTTTGGTATTATCCATGTAAACGCCATCTATCGCCCTGTAGTTGCACTACCACTTTCCCTTGATGCAAGGATTTTAGCATCACATTGACAACCGTGCCCGATCAGCTGATTGATGACGTGTACGTAGTTTACTTTTAAATTTACTATAATTACTAGACTCGTAAGAGTTTTTTTTTACTCCCACCTTTAAAAAGCCCTTTATCGTACATGTTTCCATGACACTAAGTGACCTTTTAAATTGACATGTTGTGGCTTTACGGCGCTTTAGTCACGGGCTGAAGTTAGCAACAGGTTTTTAGTCACGGGCTGAAGTTAGTTGACAGTTGTCAAATGTCATACAATCGTTAAAATAAAGTGCCTTTCTTGTAAAATAATACTAAATGTAAAAATTATTTTATTATCTCAATACAAAAATACAAAAATATTAAATAGTTTCTCAACGCCAATATTTGAAAACTTTACATGAACATTGTACTGACCTTTTAATTTCGCCGGCAGTAAACTATAACTTAAATTCGGGCACGGACTCTACTGTAAAGTCCTCATAAAACATTTCCTTTACTTTCACTGTAAAAAACTGTCAATTTTCAAGATAAATTTCGATTTATAACATTTATAATTGTGTTTAAAAAATGTAAAAATGTGACATTTGACAGTTTCCCCTGTTGTTTCATAGATGGCGCTGTATAAAAATTTTTGATTTAAATCATTTTAAGATAATAAGTATTTGTCGTAGAAAAAGTATAGTATGCACCTCGTTTATTAACTTTTCTATACACTCATTAACTTAAGCACTCGCTCGCAAGCTCGCTCGTGTCTAAATTAAATTCGTGTATAAAATGGCGTTTATCAAACTTGATACATAATATATACTATTAAAAATGCTTCAGAAAAGTAGTACCATTGTTTAAAATTCAAATTCTTTATTTAATAAACATCAAAATCGGTTATAAAATTATCTCGGTTTAGGGCCGGTTTATCAATCTCTAGTTAAGTTCCAGTTAGTCTATCTGACGGTTAAATTTCATATCGATCGTTGTGAGAACAATGGTATCCATGGAAATTATTTACCAGATAACTAACTGCAACTTTAACTGGACATTGATAAAGCGGCCCTTAGGGGTGTTAATGACCTCCCTCATGGCTTAAAAAATCGCTTTATTTATAGTTACGCAAATTTGGTTAATGGCATCGGTCATATCAGCATATCGTATTTGCTGCTGTCTGTATCACAGACTTTGTGGTCGATATAAAATAATATGTTATCGGCTTTGCAGAGTTGCATTTGTTTAATTATAATATAAGAAACTTTAAATCGAGGGGTCACACACACCTGGGAATCCCTGGACATTTTAGAGGGGGAATACCATAGGAATACAATGGAAATACATAGGAATACAATAAAATATAATGGGAATCCCTGGACGTTTTCCCTTTGGGTGGTTGACCCCTCGCTTTAAATAGAATATTTAAAGTGCAATTAATATTAGTATTCCTAGTAAAAATAAATGTATTACAAAAATTTATACGCAGTATTAAATATTTTTTTTAATGTCGGGGAAATTACTTATTTAAGTTCAACTTTTCAGTGTTAGCCATAATTTTTGCAACAACTGTAAAAAAAATCTAACTATAAAACGCCTTTATTATTCTTTATGAAATTTTGGATAAAAATACTTCAACTTATATCTCAGTTTACGTGTTCGAGGGTTTTTCGAGAAAATATTTTTAAAGCCCTTTTATTTAATAATGAAAAACGTAAAAAAAATAACTTTAAGGGAAATGTTTTTTTGCTGTTCAAGACCGTATTTTTTTTAGTATACCCTGAAAATTTTGTAAAAATCAAATGAACAGCAACGAAGATACAGCGATTCAAAGTCGTCAAAAATGACCACTTTTCAGCAAAATAATCAAAAAAGGGCCATTTTTACCGACTTTGGAGCGCTGTATCTTCGTTACTATTCGTTTAATTTGTACAAAATTTTCAGTGTATACTAACAAAAATACGGTCTTTAACAGCATAACGTTAATTTACTTAAAAAAATTAAAAGTATTTTTATCCAAAATTTTATAAAGAATAATAAAGGCGTTTTAGAGTTAGATTTTTTTTACAGTGGTACCAAAAATTATGGCCAACACTGTATATGCTAAATTTGTTTTTTAATATATAAAACTTTTTCAATACGTAAAACTTCATATGGGTCATTCCACCAATTTTTTTTTAGTGTGACCGCGGTTGTTTTTCAAATTTTGTGGAGTTACGATATCTCAAAATAATGACTCGCTGAAGATTTGAGCTCTTAATATTAAGTTCTTTCGCAGTACCTAGTTTTTTGGAATTTTGACGATATTTTTTTGTGGAAACTTTAGGTATTTATAAAAATACAAACAGTAAAATTCAATTTAAATTTTTCAGGCATACCTATACTAACCTTTAAATTTCTTGTAAAAATCTAGGTAGTAAAAAAAATAAAAACCAAATTTGGCCAATACACTTGAAATTTTGTACATGGACCTAAAATATGATTCTAAACCAGTTTTCTTTATAATATTTGCCTCCACAAAAAATATATTTTTTTAATATTTAAAAATTGAAATTAGGTTGAAAATTAATCTTTTATCAAGCAGGGCTGAACCCCCGAAAATGAAAATTGAATTCAATATTTTGTTTGGTTTTACAAAGTCGTTTCACATTACCGGGGACACACTGTATATATATAAAACTCATTTTCCTAAATTTTAGGACTTTAACTATTAATTTTACATTGTCTATAGAAACAATTAATTTTATCTATGTTTTGGCCCCACGGAAATATTTACTGCTGGCACGGTAAAAACCTATTTGGGAAAAAATGTTAATAAAATATACTGCTTACAGGTTTCGGTTCAGATACCGGCGGCCTGGGCCGTTGCGGCGGCAATTCCGGCTTTCCCACTCCCGGTTCCAGGTAGTACCGCCGTCTTTCGTATTTTTCCACCATCAAATCGCGCACGGACTGTTCGTCGTTGGGATTGGGCGAAGGGGCGCCCGCACCTCCCTCAAATAGTCCGAGCCAAACGCGCTTGCAGTACTCGTTGCCTTTGCTGCGCACCATGTCGATTTCTTCCTGCGTGAACGTCGTCATCGATATGCTCTTCACGCGATGCGGTGGAGTAATACCTCGTCTGAAACAAATTAAACAGTTAAATACTATCTGCTATGTGTGCATGTGGGTTTCTAATCAATTTTAAGAAAACATTTTTATCTGGTTTTTTATTTGCAAAAATTTTTTATCTAATTTGGTAATTCTCTTTATTATTGTATGTTATTTAATAAAATATAATTTATGCTACAATTTCCGAGAACTTAAACTTAAATTAAATTTATTTTGATAGAGTTAAATTAGTTCACAATCCCATAAATGACGCCTTACTACGCATTTTTTATGATTTATGAGTAGTTTTTTAGTTATAAAGTTTTTAAATTTAAATTATTTTAATTTTTAGGACTATTCAATAAATTTTATTAGTTTAAAAGGCAGTGGCGTAACTATAGAAATGGGGGCCCCAGTAGGATTCTCACTAGGGGGCCCTTACCAGGAAATTTTTTTGAATCATTTAAACTTTTCCTACTCCAACCCCCTCCCCCCGCCTTACACAATAATATTCATTGCTCAGGATGCATTATTCAAGGTGTTCAAATGATGTTGAAAAAAAAGGATCAGGTGTTATTCACGTAAAACATTTTATTTTTATTGTATAATACTCAAATCAGATCTTCGTTTCAAAGAATACTTTTAATCCCATATTCCAAACTGTTTCATTGCAAACATGCTATATTAATTTATAGTACTACAAATGTATGCTGTATTATAAATAAGATTTCGAATTTGAGAGTTTAAATCTTGATATTTTTATCCAAAGTGGTAAATGTGAAATCGAAAATTTCTTATTTTTCATTTTTATTTTTTCATCTCTGAATTTCTATTTTCGACTATGTATATATCATATTCAAAATTTCAGACTTTCGATGTGATATATTCGATTTCGAGTTTATGATTCTAGATTTGTAATTTTAAATTTCAATTAACTTATGTATGTTTATTTCAAAATATTTCATTCCAAATTTTGAGTTAAAAAATTTAAAAAAAAACACAATAGAAATATAATATTAAGCAGGCAACGAATATTTATTATTACAAAAAACACAATTTTTATTTTTTCATATTAAACATTTTTCTTATATTTAGTTAAAAAAAATTTCTCTTGCCACTTCTGTGGGCCCCTGGTGCTCGGGGCCCTGGTCTCTGAAACCGGTACGACCGGTGGTAGTTACGCCACTGTTAAAAGGAGAGAAAACAATTTTTAAATAACGTTGAAAAAATAAAAAAGCTCAAATTTGTTAGTAATACCAAAGGTGTTAATTTAATGTTAATTTTTTGACACCAACTATAGTTCGGACATCCTAGGCCCAGGACATAAGCAGGGGTCCAAAAAACTATAATTCACCAACAATTTAGCGCCATAATTTAAGTTTAATTACCATGTTTTTATTTAGGTTATGTTAATCACAATGTTCCTAAATTAAATCTGAATAGGACATGCGCAAATAATTGTAATCCTTAATGCGTTCTGAACAAGTTCGAGAGTAGCTCCGCGAAAACACCAAATAATTATAATTGACCGATTTCAAAAATAGAATTTTTTGTTGCATAGTGCGCCTATTTTCGTTACTTCCATGAACAGATTTTGATCTTGCATAATTTTAAATTTCCCCAATGATTATGCCAAAACCGAGCACACTTTGCCCTATAACAGAATAGAAAAGTATTGATTCACAATTTATTTTTAACTTGTTTTTCTTACGTGATGGACTTTTCATGCATTTAATTTTAATTGGATCGGGAAAACTAATTATAAAAGCTAGGTAGTCGGAATGTCAATAAATTACTTTATAATTAAAAATCACAAAATGGTTTTGCTTTAATGGATCAATTAATACAAAAATAACAGTGATATTTTTAAATGGGATTTTTTGTTATACACCTATAGGTGCAGTTTATAAAGCAAATTATAGAGAAATATTTAATAACCTTTTTTTAAATTAAGTCAGTCCTTATTTAAAACATGTAATTAAATAATTAATTAATTTTTTATTAGTATATTATCTATTCATACTTTAAATTTTAAACGTTCTGATCAATGGTGTATTACTAAAAAAGTGTCTTAAAATGTCTAAAATTTATGACGAAATTAAAAAATTGTGTAATAAAAATGAATAACAGGTCTAGTACGGCAATTTTAATAAAAAAACTCTCTTAAATAAACACTATTATTTTTTAGTCTAAAAAAATTAAATAAGAATTGTTATTTTTGTCAAATTGTTGTGCTCTATGCATGTTTGTAAAATTAAGATGCAATTTACTTACGAATGGACCCTGCAATTTGGGTATAATTTTGTCCGAAATAATTTTCTCTGCACTTTAAAAACACGCGGTCGAAAAATTAAAATTCCGTCAACACCTGCTGCAGTCGGAATATCTACCTGAACCCGGTGGTTAATAAAGAACAGCTGTTTCGAATGTGAACAGCAACGGTTAAAGCACCTTGCACTTCGCGCGTGCTATTCAAAATAGCCTTTATTATATTTTGCAAAACAGTTATCGGATTCTCAAAACAAATGCTCATCTATAGTGTCAACGGTATCAAGGTCGGCCAAGGTTAACCACCTCGAAACACAAACATAAAAATTCTTGGTAATCATAAGATTTGGAAGAAAAAACAAGATATTTTTGATTTTCTCAGGAGAATTCTTGGATATCTTAACTCGCTGTTAATAATATTATCATTTCGTTAATATTTATTTTTTAACATTTACATTAAACATGCATTTAAAACAAACAAAAAATTACTGATAACAAATTTAGTAGTAATTTTTCAAGGTTTTTTCGAGGACGTTTTGAGTGGGTCAACAATCCCGCGAATTTAAAAATAAAATTTATGAATCATTTAATATTAAAACATGTCCTCGGATAAAGGAAATTCCCAAAACAAATAATCTTTTTTATTTATTAAGTTTCCCGGAAACATGACATTGTATAGGTTAACAGATAATTAATGGTAGTGCTAGAGCTCCAAAAAGGTTATATTTATATATATTTAAGACTGCTTTGTGCACTACTACAACTCCGAGTTCGGTATGACGACAAAATTCCTCCAATTTTTTTATATTTTTTAGTACTCCTTGAAATAGCTTTCTCAGTAAATTTTGAGATTTTTTTGATCATGGGTTCAAAAAATATCAAATTTTCAAAAAACTGCTTTTTTTTGGTTTTTGCTCATAACTTCTTAAAAAATGGTCCAAATCAAAATGTTCATTCTATATAAAATTAAATATATTGAAAATATTTGAAGCGTTATAAGTCAAGATTTTTGAGTTTTAAAGTTTAAATCGTGTTTTTAAAAATGTGTGTCTTCTTCGATTTTCGCGAAAAATTTTTATTTTCAACTTTTATCTATTTAACAACTATTCAGATTGGTCCAGTGGTGGGCCTTGCATAATTACTATTTTTTTTCTATTTTTCAAAATTAAAAAAAAAACAAAAAAATAACAGTTTTTTGAAAATTTGATATCTTTTGAACCCGTGATCAAAAAAATCTCAAAATTTACTGAGAAAGCTCTTTCAAGGAGTACTAAAAAATATTAAAAAAGTGGAGGAATCAAAATAAAGTTTTTTTTAAACCATCCGATTTGGCGTGGAATGCCCCTTATATACCTTGGCTTGTAGGGGTCTCATGTATTATAATAAAATAATTATTTAATATATTTATTGATACCCCGTAAGTTATTTATCTTTTAATACAATGTTCTTGTTTTAGATACAACCCCCGCAGTTCCAAAACAAACAAACACGAACGAATAACAGTTTTATTATATTTATTACGAACAATTAAGGATGTAATTGAATTAAATGTACTTATCCATCTAATTCAAAGGCACCACGGCCCAATTATCGTGCGTTTCTTTTATTCTATTTTAATTTAATTTATTGTTAACGACGGCTTCTGCTGGAAACAAATAGTTTCCTGGGGTGCGATTCTCGAGTTGAGAGAACGCTATTCTCATGAGAAGTGGGCGTGTTTCACTTAAGTTTTGACAGGCTGCATTCTTAAAATCATGCAATAGTTTGGTTTTCCTAAAGCAGAAAAGAGTTTCCGAGAGAAGAACGCACTAACTTATCTTAAATTCAATAATGCAGCCTGTCAAAACTTGAGAGAAATGTCCACTTCTCCTATGAGAAGCGTTCTCTTAACTCGAGAATCGCCACCCAGGGGTGCGATTCTCGAGTTGAGAGAACGCTATTCTCATGAGAAGTGGGCGTGTTTCACTTAAGTTTTGACAGGCTGCATTCTTAAAATCATGCAATAGTTTGGTTTTTCTAAAGCAGAAAAGAGTTTCCGAGAGAAGAACGCACTAACTTATCTTAAATTCAATAATGCAGCCTGTCAAAACTTGAGAGAAATGCCCACTTCTCCTATGAGAAGCGTTCTCTTAACTCGAGAATCGCCACCCTGGTGGTTTGGAAGCAAGCACCGTTTATTTCACGACTTGGCAGGGCCTTAGAGGCCAGGAAGTTCAGTAGACTGGATCACTACTAAAGTTTTTTTGTATCTGAACTTTTTAGGTATACCTACAGGGCGTTAATATTTTTAAGAACATTAATTTGTTACCTCGAATTTTTATTTTGACACAGACTTTCTGGTGAAATATTTAGGTTAAAGTTGCGGTACTTATTTGATGGCTATGGAGCAAAACTTAAAAAATAATCGATTAAACATAAGAGTTATTTAAATGTAAATTACATTAACAGCAACGATATAAAAAAACGTTGCCATGACAAGTGTACTAATATGATCTTTATTTACCTAATAAAGTGTAGGCGTGGACATTGGTCAACGAACAAAAGAAAGTTGCTTTGAATAAAAAAAGGAAAATGCGTCAATGTATCGTATTTTATGGTGGCATTAGTTTTAATGGTCGCTAGTTAAATAAATGGATATTATTGAGAAAGACGCATTATTTTTAACGCTGGAAATCAATAAAAATACCAAATGAAATGTAAAATCACCGTTTACTGTTTCCATGTTTTAGTTGCAGTAAAACTGTAAAATGTATACATGAGTAA